GGTGGCGGTAGGAGTGACATGGGGATCCACAAATGGAAAAACAGTCTCAGGTCTTAAAGACTGTTAGATTGTGTAGGGGAGGCAAGGTAAATGCATGTGTAACTGCAATATATGGTTTTCTCCATATAAAGCAATGAACATAAAAAGTGACAGTGCAGAAAGAGATATGGAAAATATCCACTATTAGTTGTGTGAAAAAAGCAGATTATAAAATAGTATGTATACCATGATTGGTTCTTTAAAGAAATCTATGTACGCATGTATGTGCACATAAAGCCTGGAAAGTAATATGATATAGTGATTATCTTGAAGTGATGGAATAACAGGTGATTCAATTGCTGTTGGCTAACTTTAATACAAAGAAGATATATTATTTGTGAAATATGTACACCAGTATGTCTAAAACCAGACCCCCAAAGGCTCAGATAGGTCCCCTTGTTCATTACAAACTCAGCGGGGAAAATCCTGGCTCACCCCGGCAGTTAAAAAATCACTGTCACTGGTTCACAGTCTACTGGAGAGCTTAGTTCAGCCCTCTTTACTGCCTGGCTGCACAGCTTTATGCTAAGCACTGTGGGACACAGCAAGTTCGGGATCTGATCCAGGCTGCTTAAGGACTCAAGGAAGGCAGAATGTGTTGCATTTGTGTTAGGAAAGCCATCCTCTCCTGCTGGGACCTAAACTGGGTCGTGCTGGGTGGGAGCCACATTAAGGGAAGGGATGGCTGAGGTCAAATCGTTGCCAGTCACCTAGTGTGCACCGATTTCTTAGATATTTTCACATTCATTTTCCTACTGAGTGCTCCAAGCACTGCTCAGGTGGGCCAGGTTGGTTTTGTTATCCTTTTCATACAGCTAAGGAAACAGGCTCCAAGATGAAAAGCAGCTCAGGCCCGTCCCCCCTAGCGCTCTTCCTTCCTTCCCACCTTCTCCTCTTAGCCCCCATCCTACCTCCCAGGAGGCTGGGCTGCACAGTGGTGACAGGTGGCCTGCACCTCACACTCTGCTGGCACACAGCCCCTCCCTTGCCTGGCCTCTCCCTTGAATAGTCCCTTCGTCCCCCCTCAGCACCGTGGGCCCCAAAAGCTGGGCTTTAGGCCATGACCTGGGATCAGGCTTATTCACCTGCTGTTCTGATAAGGCGTTCAGGGGAAGAGGACTAGGCTGGACTCCTCTGGTAACGTTAGTGTTTGATTTTTAGTCTTCAATCACCTGGTGACTTGGGTTACACATCAGAGCAGTGTCTGGGAGTCAGCTCACAAGGAAGCTGCACAGAACTCCAGTACGGGTCACAAGAAGGGTGGGGGGCTGTGTGGTGCATGAGCAGGGTGCCCCAGGGCCTTGCCCTGTGTGATCTCCACCATACACCCTGGAAAGACGAGGGCTACTGCCAGTGTGCTTGCTCTGATACCTGCAAACACCCTCATTCCTGCAGTGAGTGTGTAGGTAACATTCTTCCAGACCCAGCTCTCTGCCAGTTAATGTTTTTTTAACCTTTGTGTGCTCCTTCAGAGCTCAGGAGGGGTAAACATTTTATTATTTAGCCAGCCTTACAGGTGCTGTCAGGGCTGGGCTATGCCTAGTGGTTTGCACACCCCCTAGCTGCTGTTCCTGGTAATTGATGGTTCTGTTTCCCTGCCACACTCCAAGATGTAGTGGTAGAGCCTCCGAGCTAAAAAGGGCCCAGGGATTGTTAAGCCCAACCTCCTCGTTTCACAGAAGGGTCGTCTGAGGCTCAGAGAGGAACAGTGATTTATTCAGTCACTAGACAAGTGAGTGCTCAGAACACTGACCTGGCCCCAGTTCTGACTGGTTTGAGATTGATAGTTCCAACAGGGTAACCCGGTAGCAGCCATTGGCCTCTCACCCGTGCCTTTCCTTGACTGGATAAGGGCAGCACTGCCCAGAGGTGGGAGTGGGGAAGGGAGAGATGGGTGGAGCAGGACACCGGGCATTTCTTATGTCTTCACATGTACCTGCAGCCTCCTCCAAAATTGCCCAGTGGAGTATTCAGTCTGGAATTTCAAGATTTTGTGAATAAATGGTAAGTCACCTCCTGTTCTCTGAAAGTACTTTGGTTTTGTCAGGCTCCGCATCCATCTTGGAGAGCACAGCTTTGCCTTTTACCCTTCAGCTGCTGCCCTTCATCCAGAGTGCTAGGACGTTGGTGACCTATCTGACTCTAGCAGTGGGCAAAACAGCTGCTGCGCTCAGCACTTACTGTAAAGGGACTGGCATATTGCCTTTTGGCCTTAGTTTAATTCAACAAGCGTTTATTAACCTGCTGTGGGTGTGACACTCTGCTAAGAACAGGAAGGTGGGTAAGGCTTAGGCACTCTTCCTCAGAGCCTATGGGGTGTGGGGAGGACGGGCATGCATGCACATGTAAGTAATCTGAATTAGAACCAGTGCCAAGCAAGAGCTCTCACACTCTTTCTTCCTTTAAGCTTAATAAAAAACCCTGCAGAGAGAGCAGATTTGAAGCAACTCATGGTAAGTCATTTATTTCAGATTCTTACACTGCCACCTGCTTACTCATTTGTTCTCCTCTGTCAGTCATCTATCTAGTACTTCCAGAGCCCTTACCCTGCTCTGCCTTGACCACTGTAGTCCAGCTGATCAGGGGCCTGCAGGATACCCAACATATCTCCCCTGTCCTCCTATCAGTTTAATGGAAAAGCCGGGATGACCCTGCAGCCAGCGGGAGTCCAGGGAAAAGGGCCAGCCCACCCCTGCAAGGGGACAGGGCCTTTTTGTAGTACTATCTTTGATTCAGTCCCCTCACCAAGTAACTTTGTCTCCTACATGGTAGTGGTGGTGGTAGGAGGAGGAGTGGGATACTGAATGTCTGAACTCACATGCCATGTAGAGCCTGGTCAGCGTAACATGCGCTTTCAAGTTCATCAGTTCCTTTGCTCCTTTAACAACGCTGCGAGGCACTGCAGGCAGAGCTGCTGTCTCCATTTGAGAGAGAGCGGGCTTGGGGAAGGGTAAGACCAGCAGAGCCAGGGGGTTGGGCCTGCAACTGGCCAAGGGCAGGCTCCCAGAGCACCTTCCAAATGTAGCACAACCTCCAGACCCAGGATTCTTGAATTGTCCTCCTTGGTTTTTAAATACACTTTCTGTCCATCTCCTCACACACAGGTTCATGCTTTTATCAAGAGATCTGATGCTGAAGAAGTGGATTTTGCAGGTTGGCTCTGCTCCACCATCGGCCTTAACCAGCCCAGCACACCCACCCACGTGGCTGGCATCTAAGCAATGGGGAAGAGCCGAGTCCCCTGCCCAGCAGCATGCCATGTTGCTTCTGGGCCTCCTTCCCATGCCTGTCTCTGTTCAGATGTGCATTTTACCTATGACAAAGGATGAAGAACACAGCATGTGCCAAAATTCTACTCGTGTCATTTTCAATATTTTCATCTTTATTCTTATTACTATCGTTATTCCCGAGTGGACTGGCTTTGTGCTTGGGGCTATTTTTGTGTATGCTGATGATCAAAACGTGCAATGTTGAACTACAGTGAAACTTTGGTGACTGTGGGTCGTCCTTCTTACTGAAAACTGCACTGCTGTCCCACACCGTGACTGGCTGGCTGCCTGTGTTTTCGGGATTCTTTGACACTTGGTGGTACTTCATTCTTGCCAGGCTTACCTTCTTTCCAATTGAGTAGGAAGGGGCCTTGTAAGATCCTTCACAGGCAGTGCATGTGAAGCATGCTTTGCTGCTATGAAAATGAGCATCAGAGAGAGTATATCATGTTATTTCATTATGTTTTTGCTTTTGGTGTAGAATTCAGCAGTTTCCATCAAAATCTAGCCAGAGCCCTTCACTGCCATGATAGCTGGGGCTTCACCAGTCTGTCTACTGTGATGATCTGTAGACTTCTGGTTGTATTTCTGTATTTATTTTTAAATATACCCTGTGGGATATTTAGTGCTATGTCTCTTTAAGTTTGGATTAGTGTTTCTAAAATGGTGGAGTTACTCTGAATGTTACGAATGGATCAAGGCATTAACATGTATGAGATTTCTTTCCCCGAATCCAAGTACCGATGCTATTGTAAACAACAGTGTGTATAGTGCCTAAAAACTGTATGGAAATCCTTTTACCATTTTAATCCAGACGTTTAACAAATCTAATCTCTTATTCTAATAAATATACTATCAATTCAAAGGGTGAAAGGTATTTCTGCTTTTGTGGAGGGATTTTCAGTATCTGTAGTGCAGAAGAAATCAAGGCATTTAGCAGCCACACATTACTCAGAGGGAAAAGGCAAAGACAGGAAGGAGGCTGGAAGGCGGAAATACCACACTGAGGACAAGTTCAGTGCTTTGGACTAATGCGGCTTCCTGTAATTCTAATCTTTGGACTTTGTCCAGTTCTTCTCAGCAAGCACCCTTATCTTTCAACCACTTTTCCTGTGGACCTGTGAAAAGATGCCACTGATTCCTTCCGTCTTTTTATACAAGGGAAAAACAGTAGGTGGGGGTAGGATTGGGGGGCGGCCGGTGCCTGACTGGCACTGGAGCCTCCACCCGGGACTGTGCCGTGCTGCTATGCTCCACTGAGCAATGGCTTCCCTTCTCTCTCCAGTTACACCTGAGACACTTTCCTGGAGAGGAAACAAGTGCCTGGCCCTGGGTTTGTCCTGACTGGGGGGCGGCAGTGAAGCCACAGAAAATGAAGCTGTGTCTCAATTGGCTACCTTTCTTTCTTTGAACAGTAACTTCTGAGATTTAGGTTATATGTGAGGCTGCCTTCCCTCATTTTCTTCGAGAGCAGGTGACAGAAAACCAAAATAAATATATATTTAACAATAAAAGGCCTATTTTGTTTTCAAATTAAAAAACAGAACTTAGGTAAATCTCCTGAGTAGGTAGTTCCACTCTAGATCTACCAGAGCCTGAGATACAACCAGGATTTTAAAAACTGGTCAGTGCTATATATACACAGCTGCCTCAGCCAGTCATTTATTTTTTCTCACTGCGAGGCTAACATCCGTTCTAGGTCAACAGCCTAACTTACATGTTTTCAATACACAAACATTCAGACGAGGTTTAAGACCCACACCCTACTCACACCCAGGGTCTTTTCCTAACAGAGAGGATGTCACCACCACTGAGAATGTCTCAAAGTGTGCCAACTAATGAATGGGGCAACCTGGTGTCTAAAACCTGGATCTGAACACTTCCAAGGTCAATTTCTTTTGAGGGGTGTTTTAAATCCTCTATTCACATCCAAAGGTATTTCATTTTGAGAGTCAAAAAGATTTCTTCCTAGTACTTTTCACCAAGAATGATCTAATTCTCAAGAATGATGTTCCCTACATCACTCTTGCTGTGTTTTTTGAGTTCCTCAGGCCAAATTCCTTACTCAAACTTCCTTACTGAGATGCCAATAATAGTCAGATTTTTTTCCCCAGCCGCCGCAAGGCTTGCAGGATCTTAGTTCCCCCACCAGGGATTGAACCCGGGCCCTCGGCAGTGAAAGCGCGGAGTCCTAACCACTGGACCACCAGGAAATTGCCAATAGTTGGATTTTTAAAGGATGCCTGTGAGTGTCTCACAAGGACCTGTAAAACTGCTAGAGCAGATACGAGTACTCTCATTTTACAGATGGGAAAGTGAGCTGCAAAGGTGAAAAGCAAGCAACCAGTTGGTGGTCAAGCTAGAATTCATACCCAACTTTTCTAGCTCTTAAAAACCCATGCTCATGTTTTAAGTTAGTCCCCAAGATGTGTACCTTGATGCTTTTTGTTGCAAAATAATTTTCACACTGTGTTTTCCAAGAAACATGCTCATTTAAACTTCTGGCTACTTCCTGTAAGAGTAGCTCAAAATAACTTTAATGAAATATTAACAAATATGTCAGTGCTCTCTTCTGGAACAGTTTTGTAAGGAGCTGTGCTTGAGGAGGTTGTTTGTGTTTTGTTTGGCTTTTCTGGGCAGGGCCAATTACTTTCATAAAATTAAGCAACTACTTGTCTGTACATTCAATGGAAAAGGGACAGTATGCAGAAATGAGTCTCAACTTCAAATACGAAGTTTAACAACTCTTACTCTGTAACTGTCATCTCTTTATTACAAAATCCAACCTCCCAAGCCCAGTGATCCTTCAATGGCACATTTCCTAAGTCCAGAAATGGGTTTTCAACCATCCTACTATATTGTTCGCCCCAGGGGAACTGACCCTTTTCTGTTTCTGTCTGGAAAGCAGCAAGCTGCATGACGACTATTTATCTTTATTTCTAAGCACATTTTACCATAGTGATGTCTCAACCTAGATGTGGTAACAGCCATACAAAGCATGTTAGTAGGCCGTTTTACGATGTCACTGAGAGGTGGCAACAGCTTGTGCTCTCAAGTGGCCCTCTGTCCTCCTCTTTGTCATCTTTCTCTCCCACACTGTGGCCTTGCTCTGCTCACAAGGGTTCAATGGCATGCAAACAGTGTTTATAATTGGTTTTCTTAAAAGAGGCCTTGTTGATTGTAAAGGCTGGCTTGTATTTAAACTCTGCCCTTTTTGCAAATGCCAGACCTTCTCAGTAGCATTTCAGAGTAAGTTTTTGGTTTTGAACACAATTACTGAATCTGACCAGAATATAAACACAGCACCACCCATACTGCTCAATATTGAAACACTGCATCTCAGCTTTTCTGTATGTCACTAATTTTGGTTAAAGCACTCTGAAACTTGAGTTATTGATGGAACCATTTCTACAACTACACATCCTTCTAAAGTTCTTGCTTCCTTTTAAAGGAGGCTACAGGGCCCATGGCAAGAATTCTTTGAAGAGAGAAAGTTCCTGCGGCTTAGAACTTAACTCCTGTGACTAACCCTGGCTCTTCTCCCCTTCAGGAATCTGATTCTTCCTCCTCCTCCTCCTCCTCCTCTTCTGGCACATGGCTCCTTGTGCTCAACTCCAGTGCGGTCTGGTTGATTGATGCTTCATTGTCTACATGCACCAACATCTGCTTTAGTCAAGGACACATTATGGATTAGTAAGAACACTGGCCTCAAAACAAATTAGTGTTTTCAAATAAAATCTCAATTGCGTATTCATCTGCAATATTTATCACTAAGAACTGTAGCCAGTTTCCTATTTCTCCAAATTCTACCCTGACCCCCCAACCCCCATTGCCAAAATGGGAGCAGAGTAAATGCCCTAGATTTGATAGAATATTACCTGATATACAAACATGGTTTTTACATAAGAATTATGCTGGCTTAGATGTGCTGCTTTCCAATAGTTTTACATGCTTAACACACATCTGGGAGAACTGTTCAAATATGGTATATTTAGAAGATGATTTTCCTGAGGGCATTTGGTGAGAGGAGGATATGATGAGGGCAAGAACTCATTTTTTAGCACTAGGCTTTGTAGCTGAAGCTACACTCTATTTTTAAATCCCAAGCTTGCTTATTCACAGAACAGCAAGAGTTTTGACATCTTCCTGCAAAGATCTTCACACTCTCCCCGGTTCACTGGAGTGACTAGAGAAAGTGGATGAATAGGAAGGTCGAGGCAATATAAAAGTACAGTCAACCACAGTGTAGCTAGCTGGTAGATGTTCCCTGTTTAAAACAGTAATACAGACAATCCAGTTTATTAAACTGGAAAGTTCTTAACACCACTTCCCAGAGTCCTTTGGGCTTGATAACGTAATTTACAATTTTTGATGGCTAAGCAGTGTAAGAGCAGAATGGACTCCCCAGGCCCACACTTGATTAAGCTTACATCATGTGACTGTTCAGGCGCAGGTTGAGAAGACAGCATCTCATCTTCTCTCCCAGAACTAATCATTGACTGGAGAGCCAGTTCTTCAACCTGGAAAAGAAGAGTCAAGGACACTTTCCTTACTATGTCATTGGGCTACTGATGTAGGTGAGATGTACTGAGCACGCTGTAAGCTGTGGGCATCATGAGAGGAAGTGAAAACAGTGTAAGCTCTGTGAAGCTCCAGAGGGAAGGGTGGGCTCCTCGAGCTTTCCCCACCTCTTAAGGAAACAGCACAGAAAGCTTCCAGCCCCTTTCTCCTAGGGTGAACAGGTGGTCCAGCTGAGCCGAGGCTTCCACTCCCCCAGACCTAGCAGCCCAGGGGAGAAAACACAAGCATGCGCTAAATAAAGCCAGGTGTCTGATTCCACACACCTGAAGCTTGTCTACCCCGTAATGAGAAATCGAAGGCAGGAAGACTGGAAAATGGGAGCGTTCCCCGGAGCACAAAGGAATCTAGGCTCTGGCCGCGGCCATCGTCAGCACGCTCACGTTAGGCACTGGTACAGGCACTGCGGCGATGTGAGAACATAAAGAAGTGCAGGCCATTACATGTACCCTAAGGGAAAGGGTACTGTTTTCATAGGTCGCAAGTGGACAATACTACTCAGTTTACAAACAGCCTTCATAACCCTCATCTCACTTGGATTTAGAGAGCCTGGAAGTGCCGAACAGGAATTAGCAGGAGCGTGTCACTGAGGCTGAAAGGAGTGACTTCCGCAGAGGCCTGGGAACTGCCGCTGATGGGTGTCAATCTCAACTCCTCGTCAAGGCCGTGGAGTCGGTAACAGCTCCGGGGGTAAGAGCTACCGGGAACTACTTTGTGGCTGGTCTCTTCTCGCAGGGCCTCACCGTTTTCCTTCGCAGAGTGGGCGCATCCGCCAGCCGGTCGGCTTTGCGAGACTAGAGCTGTATCGAGCGACCATACTAGGTAGTAAAGAGAATAGGGGCTCGGGAGGGGAGGCCGATGGGGGGCAGGGGCAGCCTAGGCGAGCCTGCGGGAGGTCTCCCTTCCTCAGCGCGTGGTGCGGCCGTCCGCGTTGCCGGGGCTGCAGGGGTCCGGTGTGGGGGAGGGTGTACTAGCCAAACTGATGGCTGAGTCTCAGCCCAGACCTGCGTGATCAAGATTCTTAGAGGGGTGGACCCACAATCTCAAATCCAGCCCCCCAGGCGCCGGTAAGCCACCAGGTCCAGCCGCGAAGACCGGGTAAGGGCTAACCGGCGGCAGCAGGCGGGCGCCGCAGACGCCTGGGCTCCGCGGAGAGCCGGGCGGCCCGGGGCGCCGAGGGGACGGAAGGGAGGAGCGGAGTGGGGGGCGCAGGGTCACCTTGAGCCGGTTCAGCTGGTCGTGCAGGGCCGCTTTCAACCGGAGCAGCGTCTCCTCCTCCTTGCGCAGCTCCTGAAGCCGGCTCAACATCGCGCGTCTTCGCGCTGGCGGCCGGCCGGCCACTCGCAGATGACGCCACCTCCGCGCCGCGCTACCGGAAACGGAAGAGCGGGTCGGGCGGGGCTGGCGGCACTTTGGGGCGGGGCGGCCGCTTCCTGCTGGCGGCTGGGGTAGCCGCTCCTCCGCGGACGAGCTCGGCCCACGGACGAAGTGGGGGTTTTAAACCAAAAACCTAGACTCCAATGATGATTCCTAAGGCGAAATGCGTTGGAGCTGTAAAGGACCTAGAGATAAAAATGGTCAGATAGCATGTGTCAGGTGCTTCAGCTGAACAGCACTGTTAGCACCCTTCCACTGGTGTTGCGTCAGGCGGCTGCTTTCGCTCCCGCAAACCTGCAGACGCGTTTGAAGGCAGGGACTATTGCCAGCGTATGTGCATGGTACAGGAGCCCTGTGAAGGTCCAGGCAGGCGAGGATTCCCAGTCACATGAAAGGGGTTTCCCAGGAGGCCTGCGCAAATTAAAGCGCGTAAGACAGAGCGGTGTTTCAACAAATTGGACGGTGTTTTTTCATGCTAAGGAACTGGGATTTCTTGATCTATGAATGCAAGGATAGACTGCCAACGGGAACAAAGCCAGATGCAAAACAAGACCCTGACATGACAAAGTAGGGAAGGACAAACGTTTGGGTACATTCTCTGCACTAGCATGCTCGGTCAACATATTCATGCCTACTAAAAACGCACAAATGGTTGTGAAAAAAGCTCCTAGCACTTTTCATACCAAGGGTCCAAATATCAAAAAGGTGGCAAGCATTCCCTCCATCAACTGTATTGTAACACCAGGTTATAACACCTCTGAAGGAAGCGTCAGTTTCTTACTGCTATACTTTAAAAAATGTATTCTGATTCTGCCCTCTTGTGGTTACTGAAAATGTCAGATCTTTACCGAACTTCACCCATTTTCCAAGGTGTTTTTCTTATGGGAGAGGGGAGCTAAAGAGTTTCTGTGTATTTCTGGGATAAGTCTTTTAACCATCTGTTTCTCAAAACATTGTTACTTACAAAGTGGATTTTATATCTGGATTTATGGAACATCCCACTTCTCATTCAACTTCATGGATTTTATACTAAATCCAAGGCTCCATTTTATACCAGACTTAAAAGGCTTGAATTATGAAGAACAAAGTGTCAGTAAAAAAAATTCTAACCAAGATTCACACAACACATCCAAGTCATGTTTCTCACTGCCTCTTTGATCATAAGGTCTTTATTCAAAATTAGCTGTCCAAAATGATTTGACCTTCACCAAATAAACAAATTTAACTTTATGCAGCAGCCTTCTTTTCCTCTGTGGTGGGCTTCTTTTCTGTGGGCTTCTTTTCTGCAGGCTTCTTTTCTGCGGGCTTCTTTTTAGCAGGCTTCTTTTTGGCTGCTGGTTTCTTGGTCACTGCAGCCTTTTTTCCCACCAAAGGCTTCTTTGGCTTCTTCGGCTTCTTCAGCTTCTTAACGCAAATGGCCTCCTTTCCCTTCTTTCCCATCACAGGCTTCTTGCCTGGAATCCTCTTCTCATCTGATTTGGCTTCTAGTGCTGCTGCTACCCTATCCATCCGGATTTTGTGCTGCAACAAATTAGAAGAAAATCTAAGAATCAAATCTTTCTAAAAACTCAACATATATTAGCAAAACCCAAATTATTGCTTACGTTCCTGGCCTGGCGAAGAATGGTGTTCCGGCGCATGGTCTTTGCATATGGGTTTAGCTTCAACATGATTCTCAGGTTTTTCAGTGGATTCTTCTTCAAGACTCTGCGATGAATCTTCTTGCTATAAAAAGGTAGAGACTATATTTATAGTTTATTTACATTACCCATATTTCTGAAATACCCAATAGTGTGAGGCTAGGCAAGAATTACAGTGAATATCACAACTTTACCGTGGTGCTCGGAGGGCTCTTTGGATCTCTGGGCTTTTCAAGATTCTGCTAAGGTCTGTATTGAGCATCTTGTGCATGGGGAGGCTAAATGAAAACAGAAAACGCTGACTATAGAGGCTCAACTCCTATTTCTCATGTAACTGACTAAAGAACATGAACCTCAACAAAAGATTACTTTTAATCATTTAAGCTCGACAAAATACAATCAGAATTTCCACTATACTATCACTTCTCAGAATCTCACCATTTCCACATATTGCATCTGTTTACAAGGAGGAAATGGCAACACAATCCGTTATTTAGAAAATATGCAAACCAATTTTGAACACTATCCACAGCATAAACACCATGTTCAATATATGAATTACACTCACTTGTAGTTACTCTTGAGGGAGGCAGATTTACGCCAAGTGCCATACAGCTCATCTAACTTGCGGAATGCACTTTCAGTCCAAATGCAGAAACGTCCCACGTGCCCACCAGGAGCAAGTTTCAAAATGTTCAGTTTGCTTACATTAAGCAGAGTAATTCCTTTTAAAGGGAAAACAAGAATTAGGTAGCCTGTATTTCAACAGAAGAAACACAAATCATCTTTATAGCACCCAAGAAGTATTTTAATCATGAATTTCAACCATCAATGGCTCACTCATTCAGCCAAGAATCAGAACTTCCACAAAATCATGAAGTTTCAGAAACACAGACCATAAAGTGGAATCTCATCATAATAAAAGCTGAGTAAGCTTGCATAGCATGGGTAATTAAAACATGTAAGCAGTACAAGATTTACCAGGGATGTTTCTGAAGGCCTTGATGATACCATTGTCCTCATTATAAATGATGCAGGGTCCCCTGCGCTGGATACGGCGACGATTTCTCATTTTGCCTTTGCCAGCTCTCATTCGCTGCGAGGCGTAGACCTAACAAAGTGAGGTTTGGTATTTTGATTGAGATATGATCCCTGCAATAGATCTTCATAGTTTAAAAAACTTCATTTTACAGATGATCAAACTAGAGGCAAAAATGACTTGCCTAAATTTAACACAGCAATGATTTCAGGTTTCAAACTCAAGTAATTTGGTTCCAGAGTCCTTGCTCTCACATCCACTGCGGTTTAGTTATACTGTCCCCTTCAGTAATCTTTTGAAATTTAAAATCTGGCAACAAATTTGTGTGAAGGACCACAAAATCTACCTTTTTGATATCATTCCAAGCCTTAAGTTTCTTCAGGAGCAAAACAGCCTCCTTGGTCTTCTTGTAGCCTTCAACTTTATCTTCAACCACCAAAGGAAGTTCAGGAACTTCCTCTATACGATGACCTGACAAAGCCAATTAACAGTGACCTGGTTACCCTGCACCCTTTGAAAAACTGAATCGAACCCACAAAATAAAAATGGTGTATACAATTTGCCAAATCAGAATTTCCACAAATATCATGTGTTTCAGAAACACGGACCAATGAAGTGGAATCTCATCATTTTGACAGTTAAATAAAAAGAGGAAGCAACATGACAAGATGGAAAAGTTTTCTAACAATATACGACATCACTTTATTTGAATTAGTTCTCCCAGTTACATAGTATTCACTGATGACTGAGCTGGATACACAGTATTCACTGATGATTAAGACTGAAATGATCGTAACTAGTATTTAGCAGACAGAAATTTAGCCAGACACTCTAGGATGAGGTGAATGTACACAGGCTGTTAACACCAATGAAAAGGGTCAGGTAGAGCAAAAAAGGGGTATTTTATACGACTCCTAGAATATAAAATATCACAAACCTTTAGACATGACCAGCGCTGGTAAAGCCGAGGCAGCCAACGCAGAGCAGATGGCATATCGCTTCTGCGTTGTATTCACTCTGCGGTGCCAACGTCGCCAGGTCTTGGTTGGTGCAAACATGCGGCCCCCACGACACATCTGTTTTCCCAGTTAAGAATCACATTTCTCAAATTTTAGGAATTAAAAACAGGTTATGCCTTGCTCAGTAAGAATTTTCGTCACCCTTCTGAACCAGCTTACTGACAGCAGGCAACTGTCGCTGAGAACAGAGTAAGGCGCAAATTACGACATCACTGCAAGCAAAACCTCCTACTGTCAAACCTGTTGGCTTTAAAAATTATGACGGAAAAATCTTCCAGATTTCAAATCTGTCTAGAGAAATGTTTAATCTGGACACTAGCATCTTCAGCATAAATTATTTTGCAACTACTAACAAGAAAAAGACAAGTCCAGCCTTTTAAATGCCACAGCTGACTAGTCTAGGTGGTTAAACGAAGGATACATTTCCAAAAGCACCCTGGCCAGAACGGTGAGTGCCGCCACCTCGAACCCTGGGAATTCGAGCCACAGCTCTGCCAGTACCCCAAGACTCAGCACTGGTTTGATGACCTGAAATTGTGAAGAAACCCAAGTTTTAGCTACCCAACCACACCATTCTGACTACATGCACGGTAGCAAACAGCATCAGAACATCCAGGAAAATCATGTGGTTCAGAAACACGGACCAATGGAGTGAAATTTCATCACTGCTGTTAAGTACCTCTTAAAAAGTCAACCCAGGAAAGATCTAAATCCATACCTGCTAACTCACTGACAGCATAGGGCTGTCTGTTGTTTTTGCGCAAGTTGGTGTGAACAAAGTTCACAATATCTGGTCGAATGGGAGCCTTGAACACAGCAGGCAAAGTGACATTTTTGCCAGATGACTCCCCCTTTTCAGAGTACACTGATATCAGTGGACGAGCACACGCCTGGGAAAACAAAAAAAATATTTATATTGACAAGCAATGTCAGAGGCACTCTTCTCACGTGCCAACAAAAGCATTAACGGTTCAGTTCCAGAAGAGACTAGAGTTTGATGAGGTAGATAAAACTTAAACCAAAAACAAAGGCTAAGTTACCAACACACCATCAGGTCTATTAACATCAGTAAATACTTGAAGGACACATGATTCTCAAGTTCTGCCACAGAATTTTCATCATTTTCAAAGAGA